TGTGTCTAGGACAACACAGACCCCAGCACTGCTGGGTTCCACTCAGTGACACCGGAAGTGGTAGGGTGATTTAGGTGAGGTCCTGTGCTCACATTTTCATCCTCACTCTGGAAGCCAGGCATACTGGCTGTCCATTTCTTTATTGATGATTTCTCAGGCCTGAAATGCAAAAGAAGGCACGGGGTGATGCTGTGACAGACCCGTCCCTGGGCTGACTCCAGAGGCTTCCATCTGCCCCCACCAGGCACCAGGTAGCACTGGCCTTTGCATCCCAGCTCAGTCCTGGAGCCCCATCAGAGTGGCCCACCTGGGAGATACTGACCCTAGGGTCAGCGGCACCATTTCAGTTGCTTTTCTACATAGTGCATTACTGCTCAGACTGAGAAGATTGTTGTTCAAATCTGTGTTGTGACCACAGGGACTTTGTGCATGCTTCATGCACATCACAGGCCACCATACTTTACCATAGTGCATTGTGGTTGCTGTCTTCACTTCTTCATTTCTATAACTTTGTGCTTCTCTGGGTCTGCGTCAACCTCAGGACTCACCTCAGAAAAGAAACAGTCTCAGATGAGTCACATTTTTTGCTTGTGCGGCTGGTTCTTAATTGGGACATGAAACAGTGGGGCTCACAAGCTTTGTTCAGGCCTTTACCTGGCTGGTCTTTCAATGCACGCTATGCCTCACAGGCTAGTGTCTGTCACTCAGGGCCTGAATACAGATGAGTGTCCTTATCATAAGTGCTTGGGACGAGTAGTGTTTCTGACTGAAGTCTTTTAGATTTTGGAATATTTGCAAGGGTTTTACTGGCTAAGCATCAAAAATGCTCTGAAATCCATGTGGCATGTCACTGGGTTCCCTAATGTTTCAGATGTCACAGCATTTCAAATCTTGCATGTTGGGATTGGGGGTGTTCCACGTGTGATTACCCCAGAATTTCCAGTGGGGGAGCTCTTGTGAGGGGTTGATGACATCTCCATTTCTGTTCTAACCCCCAGAGGAGGTGTGACCCTCCCTGTCAGGCAGAAGTCAAGTCTGCAGTGAGTGTCCCTGGCCTTGCCCTGTTCAAGAGCCGCTCTGACCTCCAGCAGGACAAAGGGCAGGACTGTGCCCTTCATAGCACTCAGCACACCCCTGGCTCGCTGCTGTAGCCTCATTAGTGAAATAATTCCCTTTGGGCTTTGTTGTCTTCCCCGAATGCCTTCCTTTCAAAATCTGATGAGCAGACTTTACATGTCTTCATCCAAGACACCAATGAAAACTTCAAACAAGGAAAGCCAGTAGAGGTCCACAGTCCTTACGATGCTTTCCATGGGATCTTCCAGGGAGTCATTAATGCGTGTAACCCCCCTGTCTTTATTCACCCCGGGGCCTACCTTCCAATTGGATGCTGAGTGAGCATCCGATGTAACCAACACCCCAGAAAATCAAGGAGGAGCAAGGCTTACAAGGAGGGATGGCTTAATGTTAGGAAGGTCAGATTCTCCAGAGACCACAGGTCAGGGAGAAAAAAGCCATAGCCATAGCCCCACATGGTCACTCAGTGGCCATTTTGGGCGGTGAGGTGTCAGGAGAAAAGACGATAGGAAAGCTACTGAGAGAAGAGAAGGGCTGAGCCCAGGTGTCCTCACTGCTTTGAGAGTTGTGCCAGAGAGAGAGTGCAGAGGTGAATTCTAGAGGATGGAGTGAGAGCTGGGAAGAGGGGCCCTGTGGGGTGGCATCCTACACAGAGGTCAGGATGCCCAAAGAAGTGGTCAAACCTGAAGTAGTGTACCATGCTACTGAATCCAGGCTCCCAAGAAGATAAGGGAGAACCAGGTAAAGGAAGCAGAGGGAGAGAAGACAAGGACCAGGAACTGAAGAGACAGAAATGTTCAGTGACAGATGATACTAGAGAAGGAAACTTGTAGAGTAGGAGAGATGGGTGGACGAACAGATTTGTAAGGTGAGGCAGGAACTATAGTCTACTGCAGGCAGCACATTGGGAAATTTGCAAGAAGTGGGTTCTGGCTTTCCTGTGAACACTTAACTGTTTATTCCCTGAGTAGACTCTGCATGCTTAGGTATGGTTTTTTTTATGTGATTAATAGGGCAAAGCCAAATTGTGCTTTAGTGATTTCATCTGGAAGTTTGGTCTTTGCATGAAACACTGAGAGAGAGCATTGCAGTGGAGCAGCATTGGGATGGGGCGAAACATAGAGAAGTTCCACACTCTTTTTCCCAATCTCAGCTGTCATATCCACTATTTTGTGTTCTGTCTCCACGTGTACATGTGTGCCTATTGCTGCCATGTAGGGGCCTTTGGAGGGCAGCTGTCTCCGCCTGCTGGAACCCCACCCACCCAGCCTGGCACCGAGCCCTGGGGGAGCAGCTGAGAGCTATGGATGTTAGCACTGTCACCATGCCACACAGATCTGGTGCTCTGTCTTGGGTTCTGGTAGACATACCTCATGCTTCTGACTGAAATCTGACCAGGAAAGCTTTATGGCAGCCCAGTGTACAGGAAGCTAACTGGGAAGATAATGCTGTAATTTTTTGCACTAGACAATCTAATAAATCCTGATCAGAGGGAGCTTTTATGTGCACATTTGAATTTCCCAGATCTGAGGAAACGCGAGCGGGCTCAGTAGCTCTCGTAATGAGCAATCGTCACAGTCCACCCACGAATTACTGAGTTTTCCTTGAGGCCTGACTGAGTGGTGAAGTGATGTAGTTCCTTCTGCCCCACCTGCCAGTTCACTAGGAGAGCTTTGCATAAAACATGTGAATTGTGGCACTGTCTCACAAGAATCTGGATAAAGTTGTAAATCATAGTATTAGGACAGAAAAGCCTGTGGGTCGAGAGGCTGGGCCTTTAAAACCCACAAATGCCGTGACTCAGCCAGTAAACTACAAGGTGTAATTGCAGGTCAGTGTGGAGTAACCTGTTTGAAAGTCTCAGTGATTTTTTTTTTTTTTAATGAAAAACCCAATAAGTCCCCACAGTGTCCAAGTGTCTCCTCCACCTCCCTCTGCACAGCAGGTGGAGCTTCTGCATAAGCACAGGGTCACTTGTTCTTCAACTTCAAGGGCAGTAGATGAGAACAAAACTCCTGTAAGTCCTTACTTTCTGAACTCTGTAGCAAGCTCTCCGGCAATTGGGGACCAAAGAGGTGGAGAGAGTCAGGAAATGTGTGCCCCACCTTAAGGGACCTACCACTGGTGACCTCCGACTACACTGAGGTCAGCCTCAGTGCAAGCCCAGTGCTGCAGGGCCCAGGCCTGACCTCCACTGGCCACCCCACTGCAGCCCCTAATTGTGCCCACAGCCAAGTGGTTCTTAGCCTTGGGAGGACTCTTCAGCCTTTGAGGCCTGCAGGTCATATCAGATGTCACTTTTGCTTCCCAAACTGGGTGCACTCATAAGAGAGGCTGGCAGAGTCACAGCAGCTGTGCCTACCTTCCAAGCCCTGTTCAGAGCAAGACCCACAGGGTTAGGCCCTGCTCACAAGCCTGTTAAATTCTGAAAGAGCCACGATGCTTATTTTATACAGAACACAACACCATTATTTTCAGAATGCATAAGGATTTCACATGAGAGTGGCCTGGCCTGGTTTCCATGGTAATCAGTGGTATTTAAGGAAGAAGTGCATCAAGAACCTGAGGATCACCTTCCTGGGCAATTTCCCCAGACTAGGGGTCTGTGTTCTCCTGACACTAGTGGCTGAGGAAGGAATGGCCGGAGATGGTTGCTATGGCACTAGGAACAGGAAGTAGGGCCTGGCCAGGTCCTGGTGTCTAAGGCCGGAAAGCATGGGTGACCCCTGGGCATAGTGGCGTGCACCTGTGGTCCCAGCCATGTGGGAGGCTTAGGTAGGAAAACTGATCTGAGACCAGACCCAGGCAAAAACATGAGCCCTTACCTGATAAATAACTAAAGAAAAAAAGGATTTGGGGGGGGGGGCGTGGCTCAAGTGAGTTCAAACCCCAATACCACCAAAAATACACACACACACACACACACACACACACACACACGACAGTGGCCCAGACTAAGGGAGGCCAGCTGGGCCAGAGGAGCCAAGAGCTTGGAAGTGGAGGTTTGTGCACTAGATGTGAGTGAGCAATGGATGACTGAGAAAATAACTAGATAAGACAGAAGCAGATTATTCTTATCATTAATAACAGCTCACCAGCCTATAACTGTGCAGCTAGATCACTGGCCAGTGCCTGGAAATTACTAAGCCACTGAGCTCTTGCACCTAAAGAGCCAGCCTTGAACTTATGTCTTTAGCTGTAGAGAAGCACTGTGTGGATGGTGACAGAGTCTCATCTCACAGGGGAGGTAGATTTGCTTCTGGAGTGGAGGAACTTGTTCAGAGGCTTAGGCTGAATAGGTGGTATGGCAGGAAGTGGGCACAAGCCTCTCTCTCCCTGTCCCAGTCAGATGATCCTCAGCAGCCTCCAGGCCGAGGCCCTTATAAGTCACCTGGAATTTTGTGCTTCCGGTCTGAGGTCGGTAAGAAGTAAACCCTCTCCCCTTCGACAGGTCCTCCTCCATGGGAGAACAGAAGCCTTCTAGCATCACTCTTTGCTCTGGTACATGTGGATGTACATCTGGGTGCTTATGCCACACCCCACGATTAGCAGTAATAACTTAATTTTCCTCCCAGAGATCCAGATGGTCAGCAGTAAGCGACAAACTTATTTTCCCAAGTTGCTTATTCTGTGCCCAACACAGAGACACTGACAACACATGCTGCTTTTCCTCTCTCCCCATCCCTTGAGCATTGATTGAAACCTGGCAATGCCTGCTGGCTTTGGAAGCAAGTCTTGAGTGTCGGGAGGTGTGTGGATCAGATCTGTGCTGTCACAGCCCCCCCAGCCCCCCACCCCATCCTATGTGTGCTGCCGGCACCATGCAGGCGCCATTGAACCCAGAGGCACTTTTGTGAAAGAGGACTGGCAGAGGCGCTGCTCTCTCATGAAAGTAAACTCTTCATCCCACCTCTCTGTTTCAGAACAAGAAGAAAACTTTGAGTTTATCATTGTGTCCCTCACTGGTCAGACATGGCACTTTGAAGCCACCACATATGAAGAGCGAGATGCATGGGTCCAAGCCATCGAAAGCCAGATCCTAGCCAGCTTGCAGTCCTGCGAGAGCAGCAAGAATAAGGTAAGGCCCTCAGCAGGCTGTCCCCCGAAATCAAGGTTGCTGATCATTAAAGGAAAATGAAGGCCCAGAATGGAGCGCCAGGGGGGACAGAGGCATCAGATGGTGTGTGTGCATGACAAGACCCAGGTGTGCTTTGTGAGCAAAACTCTAGCTAATTGAAAAGATAAAAACACTTTGTGTCCAGATTCATCAGGCATCATGGGTTGATATCCCGGCCCGACTGTTTGTCTGGAGGGATGTCCAATATTAAGTGTTTGATCTCTGAGTTAACCCCACATCGGAAGCACTGACGTTTTATTGTAGGCAGTTTGGGACTCTTGAGGCTTATGCATCCATACTTATTTTTGGTTGTTGTTTGGGGCAGAATAAATCAGAAAAGGAGGCATCAGTTTAAAATGCACTGTTTTGTCCTCTTGAACGCCCCAGTGCAAATCCAGGCAACTTAGAGAACCCGTCCCTGTGACGGGTAGAATGAACAGGTGTGAGCCTGCAGGGAGTTGGGTGAAGTACCATTTATGCTGCTCAGGCCTGGTGTGTGTCTCATTCAGAAGTAGAAGTAGTTCTTTGCCACTGGCCAGAAAGATGTGTTTTGGCCTGTGTTTTCTAGGCTCCTGCTCAGGGATGCCCCTTACCCCAGTTATTTTTCCCTCAATTTTACCTTCAGTTTTATTCTTCTAACCTTGATGTGTGAAACCCCCTTTGATCCTTCATGTGTGATCAACCAGGAGTTAAGGAGAGAGGACTTTGCCTACAAGCCTGCAGCGTCCTTTGAAACCATTTAAAGGAACTTCTGCCAGTAATTTGCAGTCAAGTTTTGTCATTAGGAAGGGGTCTTGTCTTTCCGTCTTACTTTATTACCCTCTTTACCCAGGGTAAACCAGGCTACTGTCATTACTGTAATGTGATTTGCTTCCCTTTTTGAAGGTGTTTTATCCCCAAGGTGGGAGAACCACTGTCTTTTGTTCTGAACACCCTAGTTTGCTGGGCCATGTCCACATGCAACCACAGTGGCTTGTGAAGTAAGCCCAGGATGCTTTGGGAACTCCTTGTCCACCGGGAGCGATGACACACACCATCCACAGAGCATGGTCACTAGTTTCCGAGCAGAAATGAGGGCATGGATTGCTGAGCAGGCAAACACGTCTCCAGGTCTTATGGAAACCCAGACTGGCTCATCGGACTCTGAGCCCATGCCCCCGACACCTGATTCTGGAAGATATGGGCCAGACTTGGCCTCTTCTGTTCCACTCCCCTGCCAGGCTCTTCCCAACTTTCTACTCTGAGCCTGGATGAGATGGTGTCAGACTGACGGCAGGCACCAGCCTGCCGGATCTGCTCCCTGTAGAGGGAGGAGGGCACCCTGAGCAGCTGAAGGAATGCAGACTTCCATCACCCACCAGGCACCTACTGACAGGTGGGAGAGGGTAAAGTAGGGCACACAGCCCACAAGGGACAGCTTGGGGGACAAAGTGCTGGCTCAGTAGAGGGGTGGATGCCTGTGGATAACTCAGAGTTGATGTAGACACACAGACAGCAAACCAACCCACCACCCAGTCACAGAAATCATACAGGTGCACAGAGGAAGAAACAGGCAGCTAAGCAGACACGCACCTCTTGCAGCGTACACCTGTACTCAGGATGCCGATAGGAACTGGTAAACATTGTTTGAATACTTGGTATCTAGAGGGAGTAAAACCCTAGTAATGCCAGTTGCTAATTAGACAACAATAATTAATAAATTGTAACTCACTGTTAGGTGGTCAGCAGTAAGTTGCTTCAAATGAGATGACTTAATTTATGAAGAATTCTTTCACAAAAATCAAGTTTATTCTCAGTGCCCCTGAAATTGGTCAGTTTTTGATTTAGATGTACATATCCTTTTTCACCTAGCACCTCTACTTCCAGGAACTCATTCTTAGTTAATATCTGTGAATATGTGCTCATATTTAGCAATAAGCATATTTTTTACAGCACTGTTTAGAATAAACACCAATTGAACCAAACGAAATGTCTAACAAAGAGAACTCCAATAAGTAGTTGGTTGGTAAGTGGAATACTATGTAGCCATTTAAAATGATGATATTGGAGAATTGTCAAATGATGGACAGATATCATTAAGCCAACCAGGCAAATTGTAAAGCAATCTATATTCTACTGGCTGTGTGTGTGTGTGTGTGTGTGTGTGTGTGTGTGTGTGTGTGTGTAGATGTGCTTAGAAAAAACTCAGAGGATCAGAACAGATACCAGAATGGTAGTACTTCACCATGGTTGACCATGTCTTTGTCCTTTTCCATTTCTGCTAAACTTGCTTCTCTAAGCATGTGTTTTTTAAGATCCCTTCTAAACAGGGCCCTTTTAAACAGTGTAAGTTTAAGAACAAATGTTCCCCAACCTGCTCACAGTCCTCCTTGCTTCATTCCAGTTAGTGACATGGTTTCCATAGCAACTGAAATGTCTGCAAACGAAAAGCACATCCCCTCACGTGGTGTGCAGGGTGCATGGGGTTTCCTGATGGGCGCCACGAGCTATGTCCTACAGTGCTGATTAAGTCCTGACCCTTGGTTCATAAACAGATTATTTTTTCCTCCTCCTTTCCTCTTCACACCAAGTAGATAAATGCCAGTGATGCTACATTAACCCAGGACACTCTCCGGGTGGCAGTTGGTCTCGTGTTCATTCACAGACGATCAAGGACTTGCTTTGCCTGTTTTTGGAGAAGCCCATCTCAGCTCATAATCCTGATGTGGAATGTTTCTCAGTTAAGCTGCTTCATAAAGACATCAAAAAAGGAGTAATTGTGCAAAAATTGCCGTCATCCTGTGTTTGCACACAATTTATCTGATTTTCCCTGACAGCATTGAAGATGTATGAGTCTCCTGGCTTCTTAAATGTGTGTTTTCTGTCCCTCTGCCCAGTCCCGACTGACCAGCCAGAGCGAGGCCATGGCCCTGCAGTCTATCCGAAACATCCGGGGGAACTCCCGCTGTGTGGACTGCGACACCCAGAGTAAGTGTGTGCTGCACACGGCAGGGCCGTCCACACCCGTCATATGCAGCTGAGAAGGACTCAGGGAGTTGAAATGTTTGTGTTTGGGGTTTATTTCAACACACTATCCTTTACACAGACAGGCATGGTGGTGTATGCCTGTAGTCCTAGCTACTTTAGAGGCAGAGATAGAAGGATCGAGGTCCAAGGGCGGACTAAGCAAAGTTAGCACAGGACCCTATTCAAAAAATGAACTGAAAGCAAAAGGACTATGGACTGGCCCAAGAGGGAGAATACTTGCCTATCCAGCACACTGGTTGTGCTATCAAATGAAAACTTTAAAACTTTTGTTACACACTGAAGCATTTGATTGAACTGATAGAATTTGTAATTACTGCTTCTTGCCTTGGTGTAACCTGGTTTTATGTCACCCTTTCTATCACAAAAAGGGCATTATTCCCTTTGAGAGAGTCATTGTGTTCTTCCTCAGAGTAGGGACATTTCATTCTTTAAATCCCAGCTCTGAGAAGTTAGTAAACGTCTTCCGTTCATATTTTTTGTGGTTGTTGTTAAGTGGTGTTTTGATGAAGAGATGGAAATCCTGTTCCAGCAAGGTGAGAAGCACTGGCCTGGGCTGGGGGCTGCCCAGAAACCCAACTCACATGGCATGATTAGTAGAGGCCGTCCTGGAACCTCAGGCCCAGGGCCCAGGCAGGAGCCCAGGGACCATGAAACCATGTGCCAGAGAGAAGGACCAGCAGGGACACACAGTGTCGAGTGCCCCAAAGCAAGCTTCCTACAGGACCTGGCACTTAAGCAGGGCTCTGGGGCGGGTAGGACTCAGCAGAGAGGGCCTGGGTGCACTGAAGAACTGAGCAGCTGCTGGGCAGGAGATGGAGATAGGCTCATGTGTACAAGGGAAGATGTTTAAGCCTTTGTTCTTCATTTGGAAGCAGAAGGAAACCGATAGTATTTCTGAGCAGGGAAGAGATGGATGCTGAGCTGAACTGGGGAGACTGACATGGTTGCCCCATTTCAGACTGATTAGAATCGAGAGGCAGGACAAGCAGGAGGCGGCCAGGTGGACTGCAGTCCTCTCCTTGGGAGGAATGAGACAGTAATCTGGGTCATTCCAGATCAAATGGAGGGACGAGCTATCCAGAGCAGCCACTGGTCAGCAGGCCAGGGAAGGGGCAATAGCGCGTCTGTCCACAGCCTGGCTAGAGGTGGGAAGGACAGCTGCTCTGCCTTCCTTGAGATGCCTCTTTAAAGTATCTTCTTTTGTTTGAATTTTTAAATTTTACTTTCAAAACGTGTGGTGGCGTGGAGTTAGAGGAGAGGGGCAGGTATTTGAAGTGTGTTTTTATCAAAAAGTTTTTAAAGTAAGACCTTTTTTAAAAGCACAAAACCTGAAACATTAGAACATCCATTAAGGGAAATGTCTATAATTGTTTCCAGCAAACATCTAAAGATTCCTTGAACAGGAAAGAGTCCATGGCTTACGGGGACGTGACTTGTGACAAATTGGTATCGGGTCCTACATGAGGCAAAGAGAGCACACGAGAGCTGAGAGTAGGTGGGAAGAGGAGGTCCGTGCAGGGGTCCGTGGGACGAGACAGTAGAGCAAGGTCACCTCAGATGGACAAGGGCAGGGGAAAGAGTTGGATGATTTGGGAGGAAAGGCGGCCCCAGGCATCCATTTGTCGAACATGTTGCTTGCACGATCCTCGCCTGTCTCTTTTTCAGTCTGATAGTTGTGCCCCTGTGGACCCATTTCAGGGAGGAAATGGAGAGTCTGAGGGCTCAAGCAGTTTGTCTCAGGTCACAGAAAGAGCAAGCTGTGCTGCAGGATTCAAACCGCTTCCTTCGGCAGCCTGCTGTTTTTGAGAAACTCAGAGGGTCTGAGGTCAGGGACATACATAGACCACACATTGGCAACGATTTTTTTCTTAAGTAAAAATACTTAATAGTAAAATACTTTTTAAAAGTTTGAAGTAAAATTACTTTAAAATATTTTTTAAGAAAAGCGTTTGGTATAAGTGCTGGGTGGGCATCATAGATGGCCACAATGATAGTGAGATGTGGCATGTCCTCAGGCTCGTGTGGCAGCTTAGTGAAGAGCCTTTGGAGGGTGGACCCCTTGCCTGCACCACCTCCAGGAAGGGGAGCAAGGGGCATGACCAGGCAGGCACAGAGAACTGCCTTCAATGCATCAGGGCTGACTGTGGCCCCAAACCAGAAACACCCCAGATGTCTAAAGGCAAAGGGCAGTTACTGGGAACGTCTAATGGTACAGAAGACACTGTGACTCCAGGAAAAATGTCTGGTTCTGCCTGCAGTTCACGCCAGCCCATGAGACACTGGCCCACCATTTCAGCTCTGTCACCCCTTGCAGGGGAGATGAGGCTTTGGGACTCCTGTGTAGTATGGGATTTGAAGCTGAGAAAACACTCCCTCTACCTTCCCCCTGGTTCTTGTCAGACAAGAGGTTCTTGGCCTCCTGTCTCTACACTGGTACATCCCAGAACATCCATAGTGGGCCCTGGGTTTCCTTAGCTTTGGGGGTGCCTACCCATAAGGGAAGTCTGTGAGTCAGTAAATCTGGGAAACTCAACAACATGCAACTTGCAGGGATTTGCAGCCTTGGCCCATCCCAGTCTCTGGGAATCCCTTCCCCAAAGAGAACTGTGTAACATGGTCCAACCTCATTCTTTCCAGACCCTCTGACAGTGGGAGTCTGTCCTGTTGCCAGTCACCCACCAGGAGCATGTCCAGGAAAGGCCACCTTTGGGGGCCCAGAGAATTCCAGAGCTTGGCCAGCATGCCAGGCCTTCCAGGAAAAAGCCTGAGATGTAGCCAGCCTTTCTGCTGCCCCTGTCCCCTCGTTCCTGAGCCCTGGCCAGCTCTGCTCTGCAGTGACTCCACCCACCACATTGTATGAGTGTTGTAAGAGTCCTTCTCTCCCAGGTGCTGCCTGATGTCTCCAGTCCTGTGCAGACTGCACATAGGAAGGGTCTGCCTGGCACCCACCACCTCCATGGAGCTCAGGGAGCCCACAGTGGGCCAGCCAGCCTCTCAGAGCGCTTGCTCAGCCCACAGGTGAAGCTTGTGAGAGCATCCCTCACCGCCAGGCTTATTTATTATTTCACAGTGCTGTGGATTGAACTCAGGACCTTGTGCATTCCACCAAGCTCCATCCTTAGCCCCTGCTCACTGGATTTAACTGGACATGGGTTTGTGTCCCCCTGCTCCCCTGGCAGTTGCCTGGTTCTCCCACCTTATTTCCCTTGTTGATCTGCCCCATGGAACCTCAGTCTTGCATTTCTGTGGGGAGGAATTGCTCTCTGTTTGCTCACTGCTGTATCCCTGGAAGCAGTCCCATTGATACTGGCTGAAAACCTGAAGGTACAAATGTGTTTACAACCAACACCTAGTGCTGTACTTCCCACATGACAGTCATTGCTCTGAGTGTCTCATAACTGTAATCCTTGTGACAACCCTTGAAGATGACAGTTAGCTTCTTTTCTCTGAGAAAGGCACTAAGACCCAGAGAGGGACACTTACAAAGGGCCAGCAGTCGGTCACATGTGTGGGGCCCAGGAGAGAATGTCAGGGTCAGGGCTGCTGAATTGAGAGTCCCTGCTCTGGAGAGGAGGACCTAAAGTCTACCAAAGAGGCAGGAGACAATTCTAAGCTTTGAGCTATGCTAAGAGGCTGGGTGGGCTATAGGCCTCAACCCCAGGGTGAGACACAGAAAGAATCCCAATCAGTTGTTACAAGGAAGTGGCAAGTGGTGACACTTAGATGCTGACATTTCTCACCTGCCAGAAACAGGCAAGACCCACCCTTCCACAGCCTCAGTTATGGGGTTTGGCAAAGCACATCCCTGCAGCCATCGGTCTGAACTGTATATCCATTGCTGAGGGATGATGATAAGGTCACTGTAACAGCTCACTCCTCTCCCCTTCAATATTGGAGATCTTCACAGAAAGCTGAGTGCTGTCACTGAAATGTGTCCCCTGTGTGAACATCCTCCTTCAATTTCAGCCCAGAACACAGTCAAGAGGTTCTGCAAGTTAGACAGGCAGGGTAGCTAGGCTCCCAAGCTCTAACACAGAGCCTGTGTCATTGGTCCCTATCCAGGAGATGATTCAGAGTGCCGTGGAGGTGGGGGGTTAGGCACCGGAACCAAATGAGTATTTCTTTCACCAGTTCAGGTGAGCATGACTAGGGGACAGGAGGGGACAGGGCATGGGTATCCACACAGTGCTTGGTGGCCGGCAGGTTATGGGGGCATAGGGGAAAGAAGATGGGAGGGATTATAGTGCTGAATTAACTTAGCTATGAGTACCTCTGGGACTGTGCTTGACGATCACCTCCCAGGTATTCCTGTGTGACCTGTCCACACCTGGTACCCCAGCACAAACCACAAGTCTACACCCCACTCTGCAGCTCAGGGCCCCAGTGCAGGTCTGAGCCTTCGCAACAGAGTGACCCACCATCTTGGCATGGTTGACAGGTGACATTGGCCAATTTCCTAGCCCTTGCTGTACTGTCCCCTTAATCAGACTGGAGCCCTCTGTTCCTTCCTAGATCTTATCCCACCTGTTCAGCCTTGCCTTCTGCCACCCCACAGCCCTTAAGGTGTGTGAGCCTTAGTCCAGCCATTTTGCATTCGCTTGAAAACTGTAATGTCGATGTTTACTTGCCTGCAGGGGAAACGGGCATGATGAGGTCTCCCCAGGACAGAGCATAGGTGCTGTGAAACCACCTAATAGGGGTCTTGCTACACCTGGGGGTAGGGGTCAGCTCACAATTCCAGCCAAGACCAGTCAGGGGACAGCAGACCAGACAAGGGGTCATTGCTGCAGGTCTCACATGAGGTAGATGAGAAGGGGACCTCAGTTCTGATCTTGCCAGCATGGACTTTGGACTTGATCATTTTGTCAACCGGCAGCCACAGATGGGTTGTTAAGTGCTGATGTGACATGAATAGATCTGCAGCACTTCCAGGCTGGTGTTGGGGAGCAGTCCACAGGGACTACTCCATGGTGACAATGGCAAGGACAAGAGTGAGGTGGTAGGTTTCAAAAGAAAGGGTTGAATATGAGAGAGCTTGGAACTCTGAGCAGCTGAAGAGTCAAGAGTGACTCCCAGGATACCGACTTGAATGAAATGGTAAATGGTGGTGCTATTGAAGGAAGTAGAAAGGACCCTGGAAGAATAATCTATTTGCAGGGAAGCTGCTAGTTCTTTTTATTTGGAACCTAGGTCTCCCCTTCTCAACCAGAACATCTCTGAGGTTATACAGCCATTCTTGGTTATTTGACATTTGTAGAATAAAGGGCCTCTCCCAAGTGAGTCAGATATGACATCAGCTACCTGGAGTAAATGTTGACAGTTCCTATGTGAGTTGAGCCTGTTTGGGCCTGTCACTGGAGGAGCCATTGACCATCAAGGTCAGTCTTACCTTTGCACTTAAGCCATAGATTCTAACACAAGAGTCTTCTGATGATGTCACAGGTTTCACACAGTGTGTAATCATTTCAGGAGTCCCAGGATCATCCTCTGAGCTGGTGATCACTGACAGTCAAATTCTGTCATTGCAGTAAGCCTCTCTTTCATCTTGGAAGCTCAAGAATATGCAACTGGTGTGCCTAATGAAAACCTTTGTAACCTCAGTAGCAGGGAGTGTTAGAGAGACATGAAGGCCACCAGGAACGACCTAAGCCATGGTGTCATGCAGGTGCCCCATGGCTTCCCTTGCCATTCCCTCTATCAGCAGCTGTCCACAGTGGATAAGTCCTGAGTTATTTTCCCATGTATCCAGTCCTCTCCAGGTGACTGCTGCTGTTGAAATATTGGAAAGGGCCTCTTTCTAGCCAAACCAAAGCTTGCAGTTGTTTTACTACCTGGAAATTCCAAGGCTTTGGTTCAAGCCAGATTTTTAATACTTGCCACCAACTTGCCAAATCTTTCGAGACACCTAGAACAGCTGCGAGTACTGGCCAGGGAGCACTGAAGTCATGTGACTCTCGGGAGGGACTTTCCGATGTGAAGCAGGGCTGGCTGCCCTTTGTCTCTAAGATCCTAAGGAGGACAGGTGTTGAGCAATGGTGGTCTGACTGCACATGACTCCTGTTCTCTTCCTGTAGATCCCAACTGGGCCAGTTTGAATTTGGGAGCCCTCATGTGCATCGAGTGCTCAGGTATCCACCGGAATCTTGGCACTCACCTTTCCCGAGTGCGATCTCTGGACCTGGATGACTGGCCCATCGAGCTGATCAAGGTGATGTCATCCATCGGGAATGAGCTGGCCAACAGTGTGTGGGAAGAGAGCAGCCAGGGGCGGACGAAACCCTCCTTAGACTCCACAAGGTAGGAAGCCCAGAAGGTGTGTGGTGTGGCCACAGGAACTTTTGCCAATAGTTATACAACTGGCAGTGACCATAGGGACAGCTGTGGTCACAATGGCCCTGGAGGAATGCCCATTAGCCCAGCATGGAAATGTCTGTATTTAAAATTGGTCTTGGGCAGACTGGATAATTCAAACCCCTTAATTTTCTTATGTTTGTGTTTAGGCCTCAGGGATTTCTCTCCCCTCTTAGGAATGTATTAAGCCTCTGACCTGATGAATATATTACTTTAATTAATACATTTCTAATAGGCATAAGCTATTCTAACACTAATTAAGAATTTTTGATCCTTTAATTTCGTTATTCTTCTATCTTTGGTAAGCATCTTTTTGGTAACCTCCTGCCCCCACCCTCACCCCTGCCAGCAAGTGAGTTTATGGTAAGAAAATGTATTTTATTTTCTAAAACATATTTCTAACACATTTAATCAGCCAAAGATCAGCATAATGTGTGGTGACTCCTCATTAATGTTAATTTTTATCCAGTGTAAAAAACGCATTTATTTTGAGGCCATTTAGTTTCTCATTTTTCATTTACAGCTATTATAAACCATTTTTGAGTGCACACATGCATAGTTAATGCTCTGAGAGGTGATAAAATAGCTTGTCTTCAGAGAGGCCTGATTCATAGCAGCGGAGTGGACAATGCACCTCTGCGTGTCTACAGTGAGGACTTCTGGGGTTCCCGGCTGCTGTGTGTGTCCCCCACTCGCAAAGCGGGGCTGTGAGGCTCACTCCAGGGTTGGCCTCCCAGGTGTGTGACGAGGTTAAAGAAGAGGAGGGGACTCCCATCATGAGCACCTGTTAGATTTCTCTGCTTTGTTTGGCCCTTAAGCAGAAGAAAGTCCACATGGTTCTCAGTCCAGGGTGAAGCTGTAGAAACCGGTTTCTGCCGGTGAGCAATGGCAGCGTGAGATGTGTTGGGGACTTCGTTAACTGATGCTGTAAAATGGGTGTGTGGTGCCACCTTTGGTTCCATTGTGAATGCAGCTGGTGAACCGTTAGGCCTGCTTTTCGGGTCGGGTGTCCCAAGGGATGAAGGTCCTGTAGAGCTCTATATGCTAGTTGTACTGAGCAATGTGGAGAGGACTGACCTACAAACCAAAGAGATGGTTCACTTTAAAAACCTTTTCATCCTAATTTGTATAGCACTCACATAGAAATCAGCCAGGTGATACTGTGAGCATTCTTAAAAGATTAAGTTGTGTTGCAGTGTCTACTGTTTCATGTAGTATTTGTTGAAAGAGTTTCTGAAAATGGAGAAGGATTAGAAATTTAATTGTTTAATATATGAATGAAGAAAATATTGAAGTAAGTTTGAAAAAATTAACCTTACACATCTCACTATTTAGGTTCAAAAAGAGCACAGGCTGTTTTTAAAATCACATAGAAAAGTTTTTTCTAGACATCAAAATTAGAAACTAGGGCCGGGCGTGTACTCAGGAGGATCATGGTCTACGGTTGACCCGTGCAAAAGCATGAGACCCTACCGGAAAAACAAACTAAAAGCAAAATGGCTGGGGTCGTGGTGCAAGTGGCAGAGTTGCTTACCTGGCAAGTACATGTCCCTGAGTTCAATCCCCAGCACCATCTAAAAACAAAACAATTAGACGCCACAAATGTGTACGTTAATTTTTAAGCTGATAACTATTTCGTATTAACCCACCTCCCTAAGTGGAAGCTGTGCAGGTATTTAATAACTCTGCATGGCAGATTGGAACTGAGCTCTTGCATCATGCACGTTACATCTTTATGGTTTGGAGACCTGCTTTGAAGTCCTCCTTTCTCAGAAATAAGAACTGTCTTTCTTTGATCACTCTGGCTGTCCAAAAGAGTGGCACTGAGTCTTGGCTCCTCTGCAAGGCTGTGGTGGTGCTGATATGGTTATGTGGTGCTTTAACGGTAACTTTGGACCTTGTAAATTCTGCCCACCTCTAAGAAGATAAACAAGCATGAAAGGTGAATGCTTCTGTGTACCTTTAGTAATTCTTTCCGAGTTTTGCTCTTCGTTAAATTCAGCAAATATCCATTGAGCGCCTTTTCATAGAAAAGAAATGTTAAGGCCAGGGGGTTCGTACACGCCTGTGAACCCTGCTAGGTGAAAGGCATTGGCCCAGGGGAAACAGTGTGGGACCCTATCTAAAAAATAACTAAAGGAAAAAGGGTGGTGGGGGGAGGGCATGGCTCAAGTGTTATTACATCATCTGCTTGGCAAGCACAAGGCCCCAAGTTCAAACTCCAGTAGCATCAAAAAAAAAAAAAAGAAGAAAGAATGAGTATAACTCTACAGTGACCAGTGCACATTCTGAGGACCAGCTGAGGAGGCTGGCTCTGTGAAATTCAGGATAGAGGGATTTTTCCAGCCAGTATGCTTCAGGAAAAGGGACATCTGAGCTGATCTCTAAAATATGGGGTGATTTTCAGAGCCTGGGATAGGGTAGAGAGGTGTGTGTGGGAGGATGGGATGACTGGCAGACAAAAAGGTGGAGATGCTCAGGCCTCAGGCCATCCTGAGATCTAAGCTCTTGAGTTTGTAGCTTTCTGTTCTATTTGGTATTGTGCCCATGCTACCATGGTGTGAGGAGTGGACATGGGTGAGGCCACAGCCAAGCAAAAGCCCAAGAGGTGTATGGGGCAGTGGTGTATGGGGGAGTAGTTTGGTCTATTTATGTGTTTGGTACATCCACCTGTTACTAGAAAGACTAATGTCAGCCAGTAGGATGGTTGGAAGGGACAGAGGAGGCAAAAGGCCACCTGGGGACTGTGGTCCTAGTGGAACATACAGGAAGCCTTACAAACACTGTCGAAAGCAAAACATAGCACAGTCCAATAGTGCAGTAGTAGTTCAAAGAGCCACCACCTTTACTGCCTCCCATACCTTCTCAAACAGAATTAAAACCTGCAAGTCGGGGCTGGACTCCCTCAAGGAATTCATCCCCTGTGAGGATGGATCTCTAGTCTGGGTCTTGCCTTGTTGCGATTCCCTGCCTCCCTGCCCACCTCCTTCTTTCTCTCCGTGGAGCCTCGGAGGGTTAGTGGCCCTAAGGTAATAGAAAGAAGTGTTTTAGTGAATGTTTATGTCTACCCAAGCAACAGCCAAGTCTGAGCCTTTGCAAAGGGGCCCAGATGTTTTCCCCCGGAGCTGTGGTTTCTTCTGTCTTGTTCAGAAGATTCATTCTGACAGTGGAATATAATTAGAAATGTGCCATCCCACTCCCGAGAGAGAGAGAGAGAGAGAAAGAGAGAAAGAGAGAGAAAGATGGCACCTTGGGGAAGGATAACACAGCAGATCTTTCTCCAAAGAAACAACCTTTCCCCCAAAACAGCCGCTCATTGGTGTCACCCTGCGGGCCTGTGGGCTGGGTAGGGAAACAGGCGCCTGGCACAGGCTGCTGGCCTTGTGCCTGTGGTCCCTGCACCCCTATTAGGGCAGCTCCAGACTGCTTATAATTGGTTCCAGCAATTCTCAGCTGCCCTGAGAACTGCCGTTCAAACTTGAGCAGCACTGTGATCAATCGGAGCTGACGGCACTGAAGCAGTATTGACTTCTCATTCCTAAACAGGGGGACCATTAGTCAAGGAAAGCATCTTTTAATTACTCCCAGGAAGGAGGAAAAAAAAAAATCTTTTTGGATGGATTCTGCAATAGCTGCCATTTTTTCCAGTGCATTCGATATTAAATTTATTGTCAAAGGAGGGGAGAGGATGCCCTTGGTCCCCCTCTGTAATGGGGGTTTAATTTGGAGAGGAGAGATCAATGGGACAACAGTAGACTGCGTCTGGGTGTGATCAGAAGTCCCCTACTCTAATTGCTATTGATGCCATTTAAGCACACACTTAAAATACCGATTTGAGATGGGCATGTGTAAGTGGGGGGAGAGGTGGCAGCGATGGGCAGAATTAAGTGGACTTGGGTTTACAAAGGGACACTTTGCCGGGTTGGGACCAGGGCTGCAGGACCCTCAGTGCCTGAGCTTGTGTGTTGGGCTTGGATGGAGTGTGGCTGGAGTTGACCAGGTAGGCCTGCCCCGGTGGGCCAGGCTCTGGGCTCCTGAGTGAAGACGCTAACAGTTATCACTGTGGGGAGAGTCACCATGCTCCTTGACGGCTCTTCCAAATGTAAGAAAAATAACCCAAGAGGTAAACGTATTTAACAGTCACATGAGTATTTTTAGCGTGAATGAATGAACAAGGAAAGGGACGAGAGGGAGTGACGGCCTCTGGCTCTGCAGCCCCAGTGACGTCATCACAGTAAACGCACCTGTACACCTTGGCCACACAGCTCCTCTACAGCATGGCACCTTGTTCTGAATTGTGATCCCCTCTCACAGAGGAGCTCTTGGGATTGACTGCAGTGAAAATAATCTCACACCAGCACCAAAGCAGAGCCCTCTGGGCAGACGCCATGCTCTGCCTGGCCGTGCGGCTGTCCCTCCTTCACTCCCATCTTTGTCTAGCAGTATCCAGGCATCCAGCCTTTGAGGGTCTGCAGGGACAGACTGCTATTTGCATTTCAGCACAGGTATCCTATTTATGTGGCACTTGGAACCTGCTGAGTTAGGCTGGGAAATCAAAGGAACCTGGAAGTGCAGAACTGTGTTTTCAATTCCAGGAATGAGCTCTTGAGAGAAGAGAGCTCTGAGCACAGCTGAAATCACCCATTACCTCTGGTGCCACTTGGAAGGGAGCGAGTTGGCCGGTTTAGTAACATTCTTATCCCTATTTACATTCTCTTTCTCTCTCTCCATATCTCTCTGTCTGTCTGTCTGTCTGTCTCTCTCTCTCTCTCCCTCTCTCTCTTTCCCTGCCTAAACTCCCTTCTTATCTTTAACCTATAAAAAGACATCACCTTCGATAGGAAGATCAGGGCGCGCATCAGAAACCCGCGTGGGAGAGACTGGCCACACACTTCCAGATGGAACCAGTCTGCCCAGCAATGGGAGTGCCGCATCTTTTTGATTCC